TCAAAAAAAAGGTCACCATAGGCCAAGAAGAAAATTGCCTCCTTACTAGTTTCTGTACCGAGAGTAAGTGGTCTCCTGTCATGTTTCTTCCCTGCCTTCTCTGAGTGAAGTGAACTTTAAATACACACACACACTCTCTCTCTCTCTCACACGAGTCAGAGATGAAAACAGTGATATACTATATTTTAATGATAATTTCAAAAATTTAGGCATGATAACAAAGTGGAACTTAAATTGGTAGAACATTAGTATCCTCTGCAAAAGGAATGAATTTCAATAAAGACAAATACTTCAGACAAAATTTTTGAGTTATAGGAATTACAATTCTTACCCTATTTTATAAGTTAATCACTGGAAAGATTTTTGTAATTATCAGGTTTATCTGAGCAGAACTTTATACTTCAATTTTTAGAAATCATGAATTGGAACATTATTGTGTCTATTTTATTTTAAATGAATTCTGAAATTTGATGTGTCCCATCTAAATAAGTATAAAACACACACACATAAATCATCAAAGTAGTATTTGTCTAAGTTATTGATTATGTAACTGAAAATTACATGACTCATTTGTCCAATTTTAAAAAGACACAATGTCAATTTTCACTGAGGCACCCAGAGATGAAAAATGATTCTATTTTAAAATCACCACTATACAAATCAATTAAATATTTTTTTATTATTTTTAACAATGAATGTTTCTCTTTAAACAAATGAATTATTTAGAAAATATTTTACCCTTTAGATATTTCATACTGTCAATTTAATTAAGGTAAAAAATATTCAGGAACATTTTCCACAGAAATGAAAGCTAATTTTAATAAATGTCTTTGTTGAAAATTTAATTACCATTCCATAAAATCTTAGATTTTTCAATTAAAATTTTTCTGATAAATTACTTAATGCAATATTCACAAAGACCATTCATAACCATATTATAATGAGTAGGAAAAAGCTAAGTAACAAAGATAACTATCCATTTATGTGCTCTAATCATAGATATACAGTAAAATTTCATCTTTTTCTTCTCTGTCACATTCGAACACTGTCAAACAAGTCCCTTTACATAATAAAACTACAAAGATTTTTGCCATGTCAACCTTAAGATATGGAAGTCAGAGAGTTAAAGCAGAAAACACCAGTAGTTAAATTTACCCACTTAAGGTAGAATAATATTAATTTATATCTTTTTAAAAATCAGAATACCGTTCAAAAAATTAAATTCTTTCTCTTCCCAGTAACTCAATTAGTACACACAGAAAGAAGAGAAAAAAGATCCTATTTTGACCTTTAACAAATGTACTCATAAAGTTTTTCAAAACTACTGTAAAAAAACTGGCATCAATTCAATATCATAAAAGAACTTTGCATTGCCATTCTAACAAGGGGCATTCTAAGTATTCTAATACTTACAACCTTAAACATTTTATATTAAAGTATTCCTTTTATATTTAATTATTCCTTAAGCATGCTAAGTTGCTCACAAGATGAAAAGTTAGGTCATTTCAAATATACATGTAGTTTTTTGTTATCTTTAACAAGACAGAATGATCAAACTGATTATCTAACACTGTACAACTAAATAAATAAAACTTTTAGCATCTCTCATACTGATTTACCCAAATCAATTCCAATATCCAACATTTCAAGAGACAAAGCCTACATGAAGTTGTAAATTAACTGTCATTTGACCAAGAAAGTAATAAAGAGGACAGATACGGGTAAAAGTAAGCTTTATCTCTTTAATTTATCTCATTGCATTTTTCTATTCTTTTTTATAGCTATAACTGTAGTTTCATTTTCAGATCAGTGTTCATATGGTATAACCATAGGATCTTAATCAGAAATCCTCAAAATTTTATAGGTAGATATAGCATTTTATTCAGCACAAGTACTTGCTGTGATTGAAACAAAATATGTAGGCCTCCAGGCCTTCTTTACTTTGAAGTCTAGAGATGCACTTACTAATAAGTAATAGTTCATTTATCATTCAATCAACAAATGATGGCTTAGGTCAGAGAGGTCTAAAACAAAGAGGTGGTGCCAAACACAGAGAGGAACTCTTGCTAAAGAAATTAAACTAGAATAGAAATGTACTTATCTAGAATATTCTACAATAGATATATTTTTTAAATGCCTGACCAAAGCAGAATGTACTTTTGACCCCAGAAGAGACCTTGCTAAAACTGAAGATTTAGCCAAGTTAATTTACCTAATAATTACCAATTATAAAGAAAATTAAAAACAGGAGCAAATTCTATATCTTTTCAACTCTTCTGTGGTTGGCTAAATAAATAAAAAATCAGCTGAAAGTACTGAACTCTGCATATTAACCTTCCAACACTACAAGCCACATGTGACCAAAGGGGTCAGGGGCCAGGGTAGAATCCTTTGACCTATGGAACTATCCATTTTGGTCTTCAGGCAAGGCTCTGTAAGAGATCATTTTACACAAATTTATCACTCATATTTTTCAAGTTCAGCATTCTATTTGCTTGGGTTGAAAGAAGATAGGTGTTCTTCCTCAAGGGAAATAAAATCCAAAGTGTTTATAAACTACATTTACCCATGGTTAAAATGGACAAAGCACTGTCCATTCATCTTTCCTGAAAGATGTATGCTGTGTTTCTTCTCATCTTTTTCACAAGAAGGTATGTACATATCACTGTTGCAACATCCTACATGCAACAGTGAAAAGAGGTCATGACAACCTATCAGAAGTCACTAGTGGAGCGTTAAAGTAAACATAGCTGTTGGAGCTGCAGCTCCGCTTGAAAAATGCCCCCTCCATTATTTCAGCAATTTTCTCAAGACGTGACCTGGGACTGAAATGCCTGAAATGTCACTTGGCTCTGTTTTGTGCTTCTTCCCAATGTGCATTTAGGTAACAGCACCCTACTAATATCTTGTAAATTGTTTGTCACAGCCATGCTTCAACCTGTAGCTACCTAAATTCTAATGTATACTCCATAGTATAAAAATACCATAATGTG